CAGATCTAAAATGGGAAGCGTGTGGGTGGGCATTGCACAGGCACTTTAAGTTTCTACCTTTCTACTGTCGATGGGTCCCGAAACTATTTCATCAATTATTTTAAGGGCGATGGTCCGAAATTGGTCGATTTCAAGACGAAAACCACGGAAAACTACAGCGAAATCCCCGTGTTTGCCACCATCTTGAATAAGTTATCGTGATGCCACGAGGTGTCATAGTTTTTCCATTTCACACGGTTTTCGTCATATATGGTCATCGATGACTGATTAAAATCTGATGTAGTGTACGGGCTTTAATTATTTTGGCTATAAACTTATTTTAATTTAATTTTTTATAACTTTTGTTATTAATGCCTTTTTATTTTTTTATTTTACTTTGATTTTGTTATTTTTGACTCCCATGTGCGAAGCACAAAATGGGAGTCTTTGCAGTTAGTGTGTCTGTATGTGTGTATGTGTGTGTGTGTGTGTGTGTATGTGTGTCCGACTGTTCCACTGCTATCTCAAGAACCATACATCGGTTTTTGATGAAACTTGGTGCATAGATGCTCTGGGCCAATGCGCAGATTTGATTAGGTTTTGGTAAAAATCCATGCTCGTTAATTACCTAATTTGCATGGTAATTAGCTAATTTTTAGCTGTTCTATGACTGTTCCACTGATATCTAAAGAACCACTCATTGGATTTTGATGAAACTTGGTACATAGATGCTCTGAACATATGCGCAGATTTGATTAATTTTTGGTAAAAATCCGTGCATATTAATTACCTAATTTGCATGATAATTAGCTATTTTTTAGTGGTTCCATAACTGTTCCACTGATATCTAAACAACCACTCATTGGATTTTGATGAAACTTGGTACATAGATGCTCTGAACTAATGCTAGGTTTTGATTAGTTTTTGGTAATAATCCGTGGATACTAATTACCTAATTTGCATAATGATTAGTCAATTTTCGGTTTTTCCACTGATATCTCAAGTACTAATCATCACATTTCAATGAAACTTGGTACATAGATGTCATACGACACTGCACAGACCTGATAGTTTTTATGGTAATATCAGTACATATTAATTACCTAATTTGCATAATTAATTAATTTTCAGCATTTGATATAAGTAGTTAGCATTACATTTCAATGAAACTTGGTACTTACATACTCAAGGACTATGCAGAGATTGATTGTTTTCGATAAATATTTGTGCATATTAATCACCTAATTTGCATAATTAGTTAATTTTCAGCTTTTCCACGGGTATCTCAAGTACTAATCATCGCATTTCAATGAAACTTGGTACATAGATCCTTTAGGACTATGCAGAGACCTGATTAGTTTTAGGGTAAATAATTGTGCATATTAATTACCTAATTTGCATAATTAATTTTCAGCTTTTCTACTGATATCTAAAGTACTGATCATCACATTTCAATGAATCTAGAATTATGCAGACCCAATTAGTTTCCAGTAAATATTTGTGCATATTAATCACCTAATTTGCATAATTAACCAACTTTCACACTGATATCTCGGGTACTATACA